GTGTTGGCGGAAAATGATAAATGAGGGCCGAATGAAGACCATGTCGGGGGAAATGGAAAAGGAGAAACACCTCGAGAGAGTATAGAGCCAGGGCCCAGGGCCTGAAAGAGGGCTTGAAGCAACGGGTAGGAGGTGAGCACAGCCAGGTGTAGGACTCAATGAATGGGCCAAGGGTTAGGGCCACGAGGGAACAGGATGAACACAGGGCTCCCGGTAAAATGGATCATCACCAAAGAGTAAGTCATAGCTTGTCCGACGTGTGCTTCAGACCCTCTCATGGCCTCTTGAGTCATTCAGAGTCACAGCTGGCTCTGCCAGCATGGACATCAAGTTCCCATAACATCGGGCCACGGCTGTCTGATCTTATCTCTTCTGTTCTCAACTCTCCCACTCGGCTCCACGTATGCTGGCCCCAGGGGCGCCTCCTCAAATATGCCAAGGCTCTGCTGTTCCCGATGTCCAGAACATTCTTCCTGCAAGGACCTACATGGCTTGTTCCTCCACCTCCAGAAAGTCTCTATTCAAAAATCTCTACGAGAAGGCCTTCTGCAACCACCCTATTTGCAATCCACCACCTACAGTGCCCTTTCACAGACTTTATCTCCGTACGCGTTTTCCAGTCCAACATTTATTTTCAGTTTCCTGTTGATTTCTACTCCCTCCTCCCATCCCTCCCCATAAGAAACCAGCTCAAAGAAGGCGCCATCTTCGGCCGTTTTCACAACTTCATCTCTGACGCCGAAAGCTTTACCCGCACAGAGTGAGGGAGCTAAACACTGATGTTTAATGAAGTCGGTAATGAATGACTATAGATCGTGTCGGGTTAGACGCTCCTGCGAGACTTCCAGCCGCCCAACAGCCAGTCGGAGGCAGAGCACTGGAGGTCACAAGGAAGAGCAGGGATGGAGATGGAGGTGTGTGATCGTGGGGACGAAGGCAGAGCGATCCCCAGAAGCACCGAGAGCTACAGCAGGATGATACGGAAAGTCAGATCCAGGAGTCAGACAAGCCTGGGCTCAAATCTGGGTCTTGACACTTCTTGCTTATTATATAAGCCTTGAACAAAATTTTAAACCCTTCTGTGCCTCAGTTTTCTCATCTCTAAAATGGGATTAAAAAAACCAAACAAAACAAAAAAACCTGCCTCAGAGGGTTGTGGAAAGATTTAACTAAGCAAGTACACGTAAAGAGAACAGCAAATAGGGCCAGACCAGCCTGCCACATGGAAAGGACACAGGAAGCGAAAGTGAGGGGGTGTACCGAGGGGAGAGGCATTTTCTCTGGATAAGAGGGGTGACATTTAAACATTTTTTTATATTTATTTTATTTATCTTGAGAGAGAGAGAGAGAGAGAGAGAGAGAGAGAGAGCGTGCACAAGCAGGGGAGGGGCACAGAGAGGAGAGAGAGAATCTCAAGCTGGGTCTGAGCTGTCAGCGCAGAGCCTGACGTGGGGCTCAAACTCACAAACCATGAGATCGTGACCTGGGCGGAAGTCGGACACTTAACCAACTGAGCCCCCCAGGCACCACCCCCCCACTGGGTAAGAAGCCAGGGTTTGTTTCCAGACTACGTAGCTCCTCGTCTCCTTATCCTCCATGGTGAACCTACAGAAGTTCTCTCGGCTCTTCGGCTCTGAATGTGTTGTCGTTGTTTTACTTCTTTTTTTTCTGGTCTGATCAGAAAAAAACCGAAAAATGTCTTTGAAGGTGTTTTGAATTTGAGCAAGGTGTGGTATTCTGGGAGGTACACGGCACAGCAGAAAGGGCATGGGCCTTCGGGGGCAGGTGGCTGTGGGCTTGAACTCTACCTCTGCTGCTCAGATACAGAGCTTAGTCTGGATCTAAAGAGAAATGTACTTTTTAAAATTTTTAAAAAATCTTTACTTATTTTTGGGAGAAAAGAGAGACAGAGCATGAGTGGAGGGGGAGCAGAGAGAGAGGGAGACACAGAATCCGAAGCAGGCTCCAGGCTCTGAGCTGTCAGCCCAGAGCCCGATGCGGGGCTCGAACTCACAAACCGCAAGTTCATGACCTGGGCCGAAGTCGGACGCTTAACCAACTAAGCTATCCTGGTGCCCCTAGAGAGAAATTTCTAAAAGAGAAAGGTAATACCTACCCCCAACACCGCAAGCCTGCAGAAGAGTAGTTGCCGAGTGCACTTCTGTGGCATAAATGAACGGGGAAGTTGTGAGGGCTGAATGCAAGAACGCGGCACACTTCGGCCGTGGGGTCAACAAGCAGACCCGCCGAGAAGCACCAACAAGTCTTGCTTGTGTGCCCTGCAGCTGGACTGGCATTCCTGCAGCCGGAGCCTGTTTAAGGGACCTAGCTTCAGTCCGAACTTTCTATTTAGTCATGTCATTACAAAGTATTTTCCCTTTGTCTTCTAAGAGAATAGATTTGCTTTACTGAGAAGCACTAACCCTTCTAATAAGGCACGCTTAAAGCGATTAGATATTGTTATCGGGTTTGTTTCGGGTCTTGCAAAGATAAAAGGGCCACCTTGAGAGTTGTTCTGTTTGCCTGAGTTGCCTCCCCCCCACCGCCCCCCGGTGTAGGGCTGGCTCCGAGCACAGTGGCTGATAACCTTTGTGTTTAACTCATCACATACTAGCCCCACTTGCACCAATACCAAAGCCGAAAGGCTCAGCAGCTGCTTTGCAGGGCCATGCGTAATCATGTCTCCGAAAGTAGCAATGAGGATTTAAAGACTGCTTGCATTTTGTGGGTTTACTTGTTTCAAGGAAAGTCCTTTTGATAATTTTTTTTTCTGATTACCAAAGAATACATGTTCACTTCAGATAATTTGGAAAACTAGAAAAGCTCAAAAGATTGAAAAGCCTACCATGCCGGCATAGAACATTTCTGTGTAAATCCTGCAAACCTTTCCAGATCCCGCCTCCCCGGAGAGGAGTGTACTCGGATAAAAACAAAATTTTAACAAATCATACTGAACAGTATTATATGACTTGCTTTTCAAATTAGCTAACGCACGCCTTCTTCATTCATTCATCCGCCCCAGCAAATTATTTAAACACCTACCGGGTGCCAGGCACTGTACAAAGCACAGGGGAAGAGGGAGACGAGCATCTAAATAAAATCAGGGAGGCAAACTGAGATAATAAAGGTGCCTATAAAGTCCGACGGGGGCACACGACAGGGAGCAGAGACAATTCCCCGCGCTGCAGGTGTCAGGAAAGCATCCAACAAGAGGCGACACGTTACTCACAGGTAACAAAGTGCACCAAGGAAGGTGCACGTCAGCGGGGGATGGAGCAAGAAGGACCCAAACATGAGACGGCACAGCTGGTCTGAGGTGCTAGGGACAAAAGTCCATCTAACAAGATGAAAGAGACAGGGAGATAAGGCGAGAAACGCATGAGCCAGGCAACGAGCAGCCACCGCGCGGTTTGAAGCAGGGCATTGGTGACCTGCTCGGATTGATGTCTTGGTTAGAAAAACCTGCTACAGCTCTAAGGATCAGGGCAGAGGGGCACAGAGGGAAAAGCAGTCCATAAAAAGACTCATCTGGTGAAAGACAGCGGAGATCTAATAAGAACGGAGGTGACAGATAATGTCCTGGAACAGACGGTGAGCTGGAAGTCAAGAGACCTGGATTCTAGATGGGTAAACATCTTTTTTCCTGCCTTCCTTCCGCAGCTACTGAGCATCAGCCCCATACAAGCTGGAGAAACAAAGGTGACGGGGTCAAATTCTTACCCCCAAGAGCTTACATTCTAGTAGGAAAGGAGAGGCGAACATGACTGCCCACCATGCCTTCCCCTCCTTTAAGGAAACCATCTGTCTCTGACTCAGAGTCCATGCAGTTCGAGTAGAAATGGTCCTCTTTGAATCCAACTCCACGAGTGGGTGCCTGAGCGAGGCTGGGCAAACAGGAGCACCTCACCCACCTAAACACGATGACTGGTTCAGGAATAGGCACAGCATTCTAACCAGGCCAATGAGGTCACTCTCGAGAGGATTGGATGGGCCCAGAAAAAAAGAACTTACTACCTTCTTCTAAGATCCCATGTGCTTAAGCCCACATACCCCTTGGGCTTGAGAGTCCTGTTAGGCCAGCAGCTCAGAACCTCTCCACCATGAGGTCACCCAGAGGAGAGCCAAACCGCGACACAGGGAAAAGCAGGGATCAGATACCATCTTCTGAGAAGCTGGATTCAGCCATGTGCTCCAAGGCCTCTAAGTTAAGAAGGCCAGTAAATTCTCTTTTTTTGCTGCAGTGACTTTGTTTGGGTTTTTGTCCTTTGCAATTGAAAGAGAACTGATGAGTTCAGGGAGAGCCACACAGAATCCCGTAACTGCAATACAATCTGATGGGCGCCATCGAGGTACCTCATACGGTAAAAGAAGCACAGAACAGCAAAGGGAAGTCAACTCCACTCGTAGGGAAAGTAAGTTAAGGAAATTTTCACAAAGAAGGTGACGTTTAAGTAAAGATTTTTTTTTAATATTTATTTATTTTTGAGTGAGACAGAAAGAGAGAAAAAAAAAACCCACAAGCGGGGAAGGGGCACAGAGAGAGGGAGACACAAGATCCGAAGCAGGCTCCAGGCTCTGAGCTGTCAGCACAGAGCCCGACGCGGGGCTCGAACCCACGAACTGTGACATCATGACCTGAGCCAAAGTCGGACGCTTAACCGACTGAGGCCCCTACGGGCGCCCCTAGCTGAAGTCTTGAAGACTTGGCCACCTGCCAACAGGAAAGGGGCAAATGGATCTTCTGTGCAGAAGAGACAAGATGAGCAGGGGCAAGTTAGTAGAAAAGGCATGCGGTGTTGGGCGAAGAAAAACCAGTCCACTGTGACGCTCACAGCAGGGAGCACATTATGAAGGGGTCTGTGTGTTCTGGGGGAAGGAGGGGTCACTGGAGAGCCAGATCAGTCTATTTCGCTTCTCATTTAACCTCTCCAGACCACAGAGGCTTCTTAGATCAGAGTGAGTCAATACAGATGGACACAAATATTAAAAAAAAATCTTACCTGCTGATAGAATTCATCATCCTTGGGGGTCAGATAAGGAAGCCAGGTATCTTCAAGCTCCTCGAGAAGCCTCAGTTTCTGTTTAAAAAAAGAATAATGATTATCGGTGATTGAATATAAAGTGACCAAAAGATAGGACAGTCTCTTGTTTTTCCAGTAAGAAGATACCCCAAAATCTTGGTTAACCCGAACGTGTAAACTTTTAGAGATAGAAATTAGTCAAATGCCTATTAGTAAATGTATTAATTTAAATACACACATGTCAATTGTACACTGGATAAAGCATTAATTTAGAAATCATGATTTTAGTCACTCTCATATCCCACGAAACAATTTAATTCACCACTCTTGACATATTTCTTTAACTCAAGGTCTGCTCCATCACCAGAATCATCTTTTGAGAAATCCAATACAGTATTCCAAAGCAAATCTTCCTGTCTGTATGACACAAAATTCTCTAAAAATCCTACTCTGACACTAAAAACTGGAAATGCCAAACCAAACCACAGTATCCTTTTCCATCATATGAGGGGTTTTGGAAGATGTACTCATCCTATAAATCTTAATTTGATATCATATCTACTTATGTATTACTTTTGGAAAGAAATCTTTCATCTCTAGACTAATTATTAAATCCGTATTAAGCATCTTCACTTTTCCAATTTTATGGGGAAATTTTTTAAAGCATCCACAGCTAGCACTGTCTGATGCCATTTTTACGTTCTTCCCAAATACTACTGTACTGTTCAAAGTAACTTCGAGAAGACCCCATATTATAAAGTACTTTGTAAAGAATCAAATACATATGAGGTGACACCTACATTCTGAAGGATTTTTTCAAAGAAACCTAAAGTTATATTCAAATATATAAGGAGGGTGTGTGTGTGTGTGTGTGTGTGTGTGTGTGTGTGTGTTCTATTCAAATATATAAGGAGGGTTTGTGTGTGTGCACGTACACCCTTGAATGCCATTATATGTGTGTGTATACAGATAAACATACACATAGGAATCATCTACATAATACAGAAAATTTCTCAAACAAAAAAACAGAAAAGACAAAAACAATAGATTTTCAAATAAAACTGCAATAAAATGCATATTCTGGTTGTTGTCAGTATCTTTATAAGAATTAGAAAATTGGGGGTGCCTGGGTGGTTGAGTCGGTTGAGCATTCAGCTCTTGATTTAGGCTCAGGTCATGATCCTAGGGTCGTGGGATCAAGGCCCACGTTGGGCTCTGCACTTAAGCCTGCTTAAGATTCTCTCTCTCTCTCCCTCTTCCTCCTCCCTCCCTCCCTCTCTCTCTCTCAAAAAAAAAAATAATAATTAATTAAAAAGAAGTAGAAAATGGCATGCTTTGCTCCGGTCACTGCAGCCCTACCGATTCCACAGGTTATGACTCGGTGAACATAACCTGGAATTTAGCCCCCACCTGCTCCAATGGACACTGTCTTTATGCAGTGACCAACCTGCTCAACCAGACATGAGGGCCCTGACTGTCACCCTCCCCTGCCCCATGAAAGCAGCCTTCTCTCACAAATCCATCACAGAGTAGTCCAGAGAAAACACCCTTAGGGCAGAACTTAAATTCTTTTTGGATCTCTTGCAAATTATCCAAGGTAAATAAAGAAGAAAGGAATAGAAATAGTACAACCAGTTGATCTAGGAGAAACAAAACACTAAATCTTACTCAGATAAAATCCTAGTCTTATTTATTTAGTGAAAAGCTTTCTGCTTGGACTGGAGGTATTTATTCTCATCCATAATGATGAGACAGGTTTACCAGTTAAACAAGGAACAGTCTTCCTTTATGAAGAACCCATATACTAACACAAACCATTAGATTAATCTTTGGTTAAGTGGCTCATCTATTTCCAACATTAGCCATTATTTGGGACACGGAAAGAACTAATGATATTTCCATGCATATGCTTACACATTTATGACTTCATCACAGATTTAATCAAAATCTATACCTCAATTTTCACTTCAACCTCAGGAAAGCCTGCATTTCCCTTTGAATCTTTTACCAGTCCTTTTTATAGACAGAATACTTAAATGCCAAAAAAACAAAAAAAAAAAATCAACCCATTGTTAAAATCCTTTAATAATCCAAACCCACATAAGATCTCAAACCTTGAAATGTATCCATCTTAGAAATATCACCCTAAGAGCTCTTCAGGCGAGTCTATGAAGCTAATGTGAATATAAGAAGGAAGACAAAGGTACAATACCTCTAAGGAATTTAATATTCTACCTTGATGAGATTAAAAAGCAGGGCGCCTGGGTGGCTCAGTCGGTTAAGCATCCGACTTCGGCTCAGGTCATGATCTCACAGTTTGTGGGTTCGAGCCCCATGTCAGGCTCTGTGCTGACACCTCAGAGCCTGGAGTCTGCTTCAGATTCTTTGTCTCCCTCTCTCTCTGACCCTCCCCTGCTCATGGTTTGTCTCTCTGTCTCTCAAAAATAAATAAACATTAAAAAAAAAAAAGCAATAGACCTGTCCCGTAGGTCAACAAGTATTGATGGAAGCTGAAATTCTATTTATAATTAATATTTTAGCTGCATTAGAAAAAACAACCACAATGGGGTGCCTGGGTGGCTCAGTCAGTTAAGCGTTCGACTTCAGCTCAGGTCATGATCTCATGGTTTGTGGGTTCGAGCCCCGCATTGGTCTCTGTGCTGACAGCTAGCTCAGAGCCTGGAGCCTGCATCCAATTCTGTTTCCCTCTCTCTCTGACCCTCCCCTGTTCACACCGTCTCTTTCTCTCTCTCAGAAATAAATAAATAAATAAAAATTAAAAACAAACAAAAAAACCACTTCCCAGCTCAGTTGAAGTCCAGTGTATCAGACAGGTATAAAACATCAGAATATGGAAGGCTGTATGTATCAGAATGATAAAATTCTATAGGAATATGCCTACTACAGAGCAAGCAGAATATGAATGGTCTCCCTCCAGTGGAAATTTCAATTCAGCTGTGAGCATCATCGTATCTATTCGACAGGAGAGAATGCAGGTCCAGAAATCACTCAACTTAAGACCACACACAGGAAATGTGCTCTGTACATTCACAGCTTACCATTTTACCAACGAATGAGATCAATCATAAATAATAACATTTATCAACTTAAAAAGAATTTCTGGTCCTCTCTGCTTTGGTGAAATCAATCAGGAATTAATATTAGATTAAGCTGGTAGTTCATGAATGTCACACAGTTCTTAAAAATAAAGACTGCTTTATCGGAATGCCTGGGTGGCTCAGTCGGTTAGGTGGCAGACTTCAGCTCAGGTCATGATCTTGCGGTTCATGGGTTTGAGCCCCTCATTCGGGCTCTGTGCTGACACCTCAGAGCTTGTAGCCTGCTTTAGATTCTGTCTCCCTCTCTCTGACCCTCCCCCCTTTCTCTCAAAAATAAATAAACCATTAAAAAAATTAAAAATTAACATTGCTTTATAAAAAGGCAAAGTCACTCTGGGCATGACTATGGGGGAAAAAAGTCCTCTCATACTCAAGAGTGCAAATTAGTACAATATCAGTGGATGGCAACTGACAATTCCTATCAAAATTCAAATGCATCTGCCTGCCCATTCACTCAGAAAGCCTTCTTCTGAGGATTTTTTCTATGGATATACAGTAAAACTTTGGATTGCGAGTAACTTGTTCTACGAGCATTCCACAAGACAAGCAAACATTTTTAATAAATTTTAACCTGATAAATGAACAATGTCTTACAATATGAGTAGTACATGATGCCAAACGTTATTTGATCACAACTGAGCCAATGGTTCTTTTTTGTTTTAATTTTTTTTGTAGTTTATTTATTTTTGAGACAGAGCACAAGTCGGGGAGGGGCAGAGAGAGAGAGGGAGACACAGAATTTGATTCTGGCTCCAGGCTCTGAGCTGTCGGCATAGAGCCCGCGGGGCTCAAACTCAGGGACCATGAGATCATGACCTGAGTCGAAGTCGGACGCTTAACCGACTAGACACCCAGGTGCCCCGAGCTGATGGTTCTTGAAATTCACTTTGATACACAACTGCTTTGGATTACAAGCATGTTTCCAGAACGAATTATGCTTCCAAACCAAGGTTTTACTGTACTTGTGTGGTGTTCAGAAGAACGTATGTACAAGTTTACCCACTAGATCACTATCTGTAGAACAAAAGCTTGCAAACATACTAAAAACCACTTGATGGTATACTTTAAAAGGAGGACTATTTTGGCATGTATATTATATCTCAACTAAACGAAAAGATTAACTATAATGCAAGTATCCACCCACAGAGAATGGTTAACTGAATTCTGGTACATCCATGCAACGATCTATAATGCAACAGTAAGCAGGGATGAGGAAGTTGCTCTGTTCATGAAATACAAAGTTCTCCAGAGCATCTCAGGAAGTAACAGGCAAGGGGCAGGGCACGTGCTTGTGTGCCATACAGAAACATAAAGGATACGTGACAAGCTGTTAAAGTGGTTACCCATCGGGCAGAGGTGGGAAATGCACAGAAGACACATGGGTGAAGCAACACTATTCAAAATCGTCCATTTGTATTGTTTTTGGTTTTTGAACTAGGTAAACATACGGCCTATTCAACCTATTGCCTATTTTTAACTCAACTGTATTACCTACGGAGTCTTAACGTAAAATTCAGTATAAAAAGGCAGATGCCCTGATTTTTTTACTCTGTTTTCGACAGTGCACAATTCTGTGATGTACAGTAAAGGGTTTGGGGAGGAAGCTATCACAGACCAGCACGCTAAAGAGTAAAGAGGCTAAATAAATAAATAAATAAATAAATAAAAAACCCACCCAGCTCTGACAATTTCTTTGTGTCAAATGCCAACCAGTCGGTGAGCACACACAACATTAAAATGCACGGTGGAGCCGAGGTAGAGAGGGTGCTCCTGTTTGACTGTCGGATCCGCCTAACTGCGACTCCCTGTCCTGATGCGGATAAATCCACACAGCTGGGCCCAACCGCACGCTGCTCAGCTCACAGGCTTCTCTGCTGTCACGCAGGTGTCAAATATATCAAGCTGCTCACAAATGCCGCACAGAAAGCCAGAGCGTGC